AAACTGTCTGTCTTGTTCATTCACATCCATGCCTGGCAGGCAGTAAGCACTCGATAAAGAATAAACTAACAAAAGATGACCAACTTTCAAAATTGAGATAAATGTCCCAACCCACCAAGCCCAACAAACTAAATTAGCATCATTTTTAAAAAGCAGGTATTGCAGACCCAGCCCGAGACTACTAAGTTTCAAAAGTGATTATCTTGAGAGAGATCTTCTAACACGGCATCCTTACTCTACTTCGATGACCACATTTTCAATCAAGGGAAGTGGACCTTTGTGACAGACGGGGTTCTTCCTGGCACCCAGAGTCAGGCAGCAGATGTCTGAGTGATACAGAGAGGCACAGAGGAAGCAGCTTCCTCAGGAAGCTGTGGGGAGGACTGGGGCTCCAAGGGAGAACACAGCCCTGTAGGAGACTTCACCAGAGTGACATGTCAGACCAGCACGGCCGAGCAGCCAGCCCACCTGCTGCAGAGCTAGACCCTCGACACTGCAGAACACCATGAAACTCGAAATGCTTATGCCTTCCTCGGTTTATGCGTTCTAATTTCATTTGGCTCTTATGGAAGTGGGAGAATGAGTGGTAACTATAAAAGCTATGATCATTATCCTCAGTGTTAGCCTAAGAGCTTGCAATATCAAGAGCAAAGAGTCGACGAGAAATAGCCAGGCCCTTTCTCTTACAAACACCTTTGTCCAAAGGAACAGAGGGAGAAAAATGCAGATGGAGCATACCACAAAAAAGTTATAAAATCCATGCAGTCAAAGCCCATAAGCCACAGTTTAAATCGTGGCACTGTGTAGGTCCTATGCTAACCCAATGGCTTAAGGTCTGAAGGATCCTATCACAGTGTGACTTGTGCTGTGGATTACTGTTCATCCCAGTGTGGAATGGCACCCTACGATAGAAAATGTTAGAGAACAATTAATGCGACAAAGGAAGCTGCTATATCGCAGACCTTCTTGGGCTCATTTCTTCTCCTCTGAACTTCTAATCATTTCAACCTTTAATTCAATACTTCACGAGAAGCGATCACTGGGCTCAAGTCTCTGAGTGGCACAAATGGCTGTGTTGGTTGGCAGTTCAAACCTATCTGAGTTGCCCTCGGTGGAAAGCCTAGCAACCTGCTTCCAAAGATCCAGTCTTGAAAGTCCACCAAGCAGTTAGTTCAACTGCACACGTGAGGTGTCTTCATGGGTTGGAAATGACTTGCTAGCAACTAACAGCACCTACCACAATCGTGCAAGACCCAAAAGGAAAGAAAGTCCCTGTCAGAACTCCCTCAGACAATTTATAATCCAGCAGGGCAGAAACAAGAAATCCAGAGAAAAGTATGGGCAAGGTCATCTCCACTAAAGCTTAAAAGAAGGATGTGGTGACTTCTGGATGGCGGTCCGAGGCTCTCTCTGGAAGGAGAGAGTCTACTGCTTCTCCTTCAAGGAGGCGTGGCCTCGTCAGCAGACAGAGACCAGATGGACTAATCCAAGCAAAGAGGCACCGAGGAAAAAGACCGGGTGTACTCCAGGAACAACGTTACCATCTGGGGCACAGCACGTGGTAGGATAACTGTTTCCTTTAAATACACATTATCTCAAGGACAACATTTCCTTCTCTCTCCCCACCCCCTGCCCCGAGTTACCTAAGACCCTATTCTCTCTGTGTGACAGACCCAAAATCATATTTATTATATAAACAAGAAAATTCATCCAGAAAGAAAAAAAAATAGGAAATCTTCCTAGTAACCAGGTAATTTAAACCTGTAACTAGCAATGTAAGTCATACAGGAAAGCATGCAATCCACATTGAAAACATTCAATTCACCTTTAAGTTGCTGCTGCTATGGGTGTTCTTGGATTTTCCTAAAACTTGGGGTCATGGTAGAAGTCTCCATACCTTTGGCTAGAGGCGTGCCCTTATCTAAGAACATGAGAGTGTTCAGAGAAAGTTCACAGAGCTTTCTCCATTTGGGTGGGCTTAGGGCGTGGGGGGGGGCATACGCATGTGTCTGCATTTGGAAAGTTTGAGAAAAGTTGTTGAGTCCAATACCTGTGGATATTTTTAAATGGTGAAGATGGATCCACAGGTCAGTTCAAAATACAAAACAACAAAAACAACAACAACCGGTTCCATCAAGTCAACTTCAAATCACGGCCATCCACCCCAGGAGGGTCAGAGGAGGACTGCGTTTCATAGGGTTTTCTGAGCAATTCCACTACAGCTGGAATCCTAAGATGCAGCTCTAGCATGGTTATCATATAAAGATGATAGGAAACTACCATAAATCAATTTTCTATTTATATCATTTTCACATGCCACACTCATATTTTATATAATTGTTTATAAAAGGTTACATGAAATGCCTGCATGTCCCCCTTTTGATCGGGATCCTTCTATGGATCCTTTGATCAAACTGTTTGGCAATGGTAGCTGCACACCATCTAGTCGTGCTGGTCTTAAGGAAAAAGAGGTCGTTAAGGTGCTTCTGGAGGGCATGAATCCCGCAGATTCCACATCCTCCTCTATTCCTGCCTCCGCTTCTTCTTCAGTCGCTCCGGGAGAGCGGCGACTAACGTTTATGCCTTGCACAGCAGCTTGCAAGCTTTTAAGAGCCCCAAGCGCTGTGCAGCCAGCTAGGAGGCAGAACAGAAGCACTAAACCCGTTATTAGGCCAATTAACTTGGATGTCCCATGGAACTGTGACCCTAGAGCCCCGAACTAGGAGGTGTTTAGTTGTGCCTACGCAGCCTTAGCAATTACCTTTTCCCCTCTCTTGTTTGTCATTGTGAATCTGCCTACCATGCCTTTGCCAATTCGACTTTTCATAGGTTTACAACTCACTGACAGCAATTACAATCATCAGATGTACACAGGAGGAAGGGAGGGCGGGGTAAAAAGAGGAGCTGATACCAAGGGCTCAAATAGGAAAGTAAATGTTTAGAAAATAATGATGGCAACATATGTACAAATTGTACAAATATGCTTGACACAATGGATAGATGGATTGTTATAAGAGCTGTAAGAGCCACCCCCCCCCCAAAATGATCTTTACAAAATCATAAAAATCATCAGCTGTACAACCCTACCTTTAAGGAATGCTCTATTTTCCCTCTGCATGAGCCACCCTTTCTCCCCCTTCACCCCCCAGGAGTGACCACTAATGATCCTTGATCTCCATGCTTTGCCTCGTCTTTTCTTTTTTATCCAAGTGAGGTAATATCATATTTCTCCTTTTGTGATTGGCTTATTTACCTCAGTATAAGGTGCAGGTGTGAATATATTTAATATTATTTGCTGAGTTAAACAAGTCAAAGAACAAATATTATATGATCCCTTTATATGAAATAGCTACAATGGGCAAATGCCTACAGACAAAAGCTGGTTAGTGGTTACCAAGGGATAGCAGGGGCGTGATAGCAGGGGGACATGGGAGCAAGCATGGGAAGTCATAGTTGAGAGAGCCCCGAATCTGTTTGGGGTGATAAAAACTTTTGAAAATGAGAAATACAACATGGTGAGTGTAATTAGTGCCGGAAGTATATACACACTTAACAGTGGTTAAAATGGCAACCTTTTGTTATATTTTTATAGGCACAGAAATTTTTTAGAGCCAAAAAGACACTTAGTATGTGCACGTCGATTAATGATCCAAATTCAACTACTTGAGAGGCGGTAGCACCTTTAAGCACAAGGTTGAAATTTACCAGTTAGCGTGAACTTCACCCCTCACGCGGATCAAGGTCACGTGCCTGGTGAACACAGCCTTTTCACTCTCACAGATCAACAGTCTCCACAAAGCTATGATTCTTTCTTGATGAAGACATCCATGGTTACATATTTTACTATGATGATCCTATATTGTGCTTCAATGTATATATTTATGCATACCCATATAGTCAACCTAACATCCATCTGCCCACACACCGTGTGAAAACTACTCTACCATGTCCAAGAGCACATTTACCTGACATGGGTTCAAAAGAAAAGGAGGTGGTCACTTGATTTATTAAGAACTGTGTTGGGAGACCACTAGGGTACTCAAACCTAGCCACTATATCCAAAAAGTCAGCCATGAAGCAAGATCCACGTGCAAAGCGTATGGCAGCCTGTGCTTGGAGTGGGTATCTCCCCTCATTCTCTAGTCCCCTTCTGCCAGAGAGAGCAACCCTCAGATATAGAGAGTTCCTTTCGGTTCTCAGTCCGGGTGATCTGCAAATGAAAGATCTATGGTGATCAACCCGCTCTCTTGGCACCATGACTGACCTAGCATCAGACGAGTCCTCAGAGTAGATGTTTCAGCACTACTGGGACGGGAAGGAAAAAGAGATATACAAAAAGGGAAGCAAAGCTTGGTGGGTATGGATGCACCGACTATGAATGATTAATGCGTCGTGTGCTGCTGGCGTTAATTGTTAAGAAGAAAGGCCGAATAAGCAGCTTAGCGGCAATGGACAAAGAGCCCAGCCACTTAAGGACCTGAAGCTAAGTGTGAATCAGAGTCAATTCCCTCTGCCCGTGAGCTGCGGATTGGGCAGGGCGTTTGCACGCCTAGTGAAGGCTTCCTGTTGGCCCTGGGCAATGTTCAAGCCAATTCACTGAAATCGTTGTACCTCCGAGAAATGGCAGCCCAAATGTGGAAAGGTAGCACTCATTTTCTGGCACCCCCTGCACCCCCTGGACACAACACAGAAACGTACACCCAACATTCTCCCGGAGAGCAGGGTCATTACCATTCCACCCATGTGCAGACTGGCATTCTGCAGAAGACAGCAGGACCAGAAACATCCCCAAACTCTTACCCCGAGTCATTGAATACCAGAATCTTCTTTTTAGACATTAGAAAAAAGAAAGGAAGACATCTGGGTCTTCAAGTCTTGGTTCTTGAGTAATAAGCCATTCCACAGCTCCAGGAGTTTTGACGTGAACACATCTTATCTGGAAGCCCCTCACCCCCAGCCTGCCAGAGTCTGTACAAGTGAAACCTAGGAGTCTGTCTTACCTGTAATCTGACTCTGTCCTTGTGGATTAAAAGGACTTGGTGCAGAGTTCAGGGAGGGCCGTGGGTTCTGAGGCGGGACACCTACTCTCATACTGGGATGAGGAATGCGCCCTAAATCACTGAGGCGGTCAGAGAACAAACTAGGTTTACAGTCATCAAGCTTCTGTCTGTGCCCTGGAAACAGCAAATCATAAAATAAAAGCATATTAATTAGCTGAACAATTGACCATGCTAAATAGATATGTGAACATACATACGGGGAGGGGGGGCCGGTTAGAGTCGAGGGATTTTCCACACTGAGATTCATAATGATGTGTCTCTACCATGCCTTCGGTGTCAGCGTGCTTTAACACGCGCTAGCTGGGGGCAAGCCCGCCTAGCTCTGCTCCAGAAGTGGACAAGCAAGGTTCCCAGAGGTTGGCTTGGAGGGTGGTGCAGCAGGAGCAGGGCCTGGAAGCCAGAGCTCAGGAGCTCTCTGGGACCCTCCCCGAGCCCTGGGGCCCTCTCAATGAGTGGGTGCAGGGGAGGTTTCAATGCTTGTTTCATGCAAAAGGAAACCTCCCCTGAATGCCATGGGAATGCCCGCACAGAAAGCATCCCGTCCCTGAGCTAGGCAGGGGCAAAGGCACCAAAGGCCGGGCTGGCTCTGGATAAAACATATTTGTCCAAGGGAAATGTCCACGATGACCACAGGGGTGAGCTTCCTTCCCCTGTTATAACTCTGCATTACCGAGTCTCTGGTCTGAGAAAACAGCACACCTAAAATCCCTTGAAGAGGGGGTAGAAAAAAATCTGAAATACTACCTGATTTTCAAGCTAGGAAGCTCAGATTCTCAAGAAGAATCTGGATGCTTTGTGATATGCAAAGAGATCAGAAGTGTACGATGTTATGTTAAATTGGAGAGCGTGTTTGTTTTCCAAATCTAAAAGTGTGAGGATTTTTTGTTCCCTTTTTAAAAAAGAGGAATATCCTTTGGATGCATATGTGAATGTGAGACTCTGTAATTAAAACAAACCAAAAAAAAAAAGAAAAAGACTTCTGTCTCTCTTCTAGTTGATTCAACACAAAAATCTAAGGAAATTCAGGATGTTAAAGAAAGATGCAATTAATATATATCCAGGGCACTAATCTTTCTTCAAATCATCATACCATATAGTCATCAGACTATTGCATTGCCTTGGTACAATAATAATAGGAAGAAGAAGGAAAAAAACAAAACTCAAACTGACTCTGGGTATAGCATTAGTTAATAGATTGCAGTGGGGTGAACAAGTAAAATGCCCACGATCCACAGCAACCCAGTGTGGGTGGCTTCCTCTAGATGCTGGACCAGGGAGGCCTCGGGTGAGCCCAAACATTTTAGTAAAATGTCAATGTAACTGAAAGGGATTTGAAAGAGAGTCACTTGAATGATGGCTGGTTAAGAATGTGTCCTTTCAGGAAAAACTAAGGGACTCAGGGTCATTGGCCATACAGGAGTTTTTAAAAACCCGAATGAAGGATTATCTAAAAATCTTCAAGCATGCGAAGTCTGACATTCCCTGGGCAGTGAGAACCATTTATCTTCTACTTAGAGTCCAGGTGGCAGAAGACAAGGCTTTCTACTCCCATAAGTATTTCCAGTCTCGGAAAGCCACGGGGGCAGTTCTACCGGTGCTACAGGGTCCCTGAGTCGAAACGACTCGATGGCAGGCCGTGTGGCTTCGGTTCAGTGCAGGGCAAGAGGGATTAGATCAGGATAGGGTTAAGTTGAACATTAGAATTTCCCAACTATAAGCTGTCTTCATAAGACAAATTCCTTATTTTATTTGCCCCAAAATGTATTTTCCTGTCTCCTTTTTCATGGCCTACGCAGCCCAAAGAAAGCAGACAGGAAGCCAAGGCCTGGTAATATGAGTGTGGCTGTGTCCACAGCCAAACGTGTTCCGACGAGGCCCATGAACTGAAACGCACCCACTACCCCACTTCCTGCCGCTACACACGCTGGGCATCCGCTAGAAGACAGGGCCGGGCCTAGAAGAAAAATGATAGGGAGGGTGAGGGAAGGGCAAGAGAAGCTCCCTGTTTTCTGATGGTTGTTTCCACTCCCCTTTCTGATTGTTTATCCGGATTACAACTACAGGGGGTACCCCCCCACCAAAATGGAATTTTTTTCCCAAAGCTATGTAATTAAATTCGTTTTACAAAACAACCTTATCACCTTCAACGTACTCTCCATCACACTTACTACGTCTGTCACATCCGTGATTCCATGCTTGCTCATCTGGGGGGGGCGGGGATGTATACTATGAAAGTTCCGCCCAGAGGAGCTTTTTTCCATTTTGGGGGGAGGGGGTACCCCCTCATAGGCTTGAGAACCCGAAGGGACCTGTAAGAGATTACCCCAAACAGCTCCCAGGCCTCGGGCAAGTAAGGTGTTCATAAAGGAAGCAACTGACCGCTGGAGAGAAACAGCCAGTCTCATGGACAAACACCTCCTGGACAAGAGCAGAGTCCTGGTCCACTGAGCTTGCTCCTCCTCTGTGGGGGGTCTTCTCCTTTTCGTCCCTTCCTCTCCCTGCCCCTATGGAGGACATCTGTACCGAGAGAGCCGGAAGCCCAAGAGCTGAGCACAGTGACAAACCACGGCCGTTCTCAATGCGAGCAGAAGCAGCAGCAAAGATTGGATTACAGCATTAGTAGCTCACCCATGGCCCTCAACCAAAGGCCCCGGGCTAGCAGGCCACACTTCCATCAACATGCATGGCTGGGTCTCACTAGTTCCTCAGCTAGGGAATGACATGGTACTTGTCACAGTTAGATCCATGGAGTCTGCTTCTCACCAAAGAGGAAAGGAGAGACAGACAGACAGAGAGAGAGAGAGAGATCGGTGTGGTATTGATACAGCAGTAAACATTAACAAGACAGCTTATGGAATTGTCCCTGGAACTTATTCTTTTTAATAGACCATCTTTTTTGGAATGGCAGCTTCCCCAAGGGCTAAGGAAAAGGCTTACATGATCTGACATGGTTTCTTTAAGCACTGAGCCTTCATATGGGCCATGGCTCACAAGGAAATTTAATAAGCTCTGCCTGCCCTTGCTTCAGTCTTTTCCTTGTTTCCACGAAGCCTGGGGGAGATGCGAGCTCGGTGCGGGAAAGCTTGAGCTTGGTTTTATTTTCACTTTGCCCCGTGCTTCAGGGAGCCATCAGAGGGCCACGGCAAGATGAAAGGACTCGGGGTAAAGATGGAAATGTTTTAAGAGTAGGTGAAATGCTAAAAGCCTCTCTAAGCGTTTAGAAATCATCTTCCAGGATGACTCATCAAGTGTCTACAGAGAGCCTGAGAGCAGTGTGAGGAGCACCCAGGATGGGCGCAGGTCGAGAAACACTCAGATGCCTTTTCCCCTCGTAGACATCTGCACCCTCACAGCCACCACCACAGCTATGACCACAAAGCTCTTAGAGGCCACCGAAAGGCAACAGCAAGGCAGGGTCCCCTAAGAAACCACATCAGGGTAGCTCTTGAACAAAGAGCCACGTAAATCCTCAGCACCCAAGCCAGCCAGAACACAAGATACAAAGGATGCTAAGGCTTCACGTCAGGGACCGGGCACTGTGCTGGGGTGGCAGGGGGACTACCTTTGCTCCTACCAGGAGCCCGGGAGTGGCACTGCCAACCAGGGGCTAAGTATTAAGAGTGGGAAGTACATGTGCTATATTTGAGACTCTTGATGTAAGAGCTCAGGTCTGGATCCTCTTTTCTGGCTGCATGGTCTCCCTAGTTCTGGGGAGAGTACTCCGCCCTGGCTGGTTAAGAAATCCCCCAGAGGGTTCTGGAAATTATAGGTGTGCAAGCTTCGCATCAGATCGATTACATCGGCATCTCTAAGAATGGGTCCTGGGGAAAGGTGTGTTTTGTTTTGTTTTGAAGTTCGCCATAGAACTCAATACACAAGCAGGGTTAAGAAACACTGGGTGAGAAGGCCTCACCGTTTCAAGCAGAAACAACTACCACTGCTATTCTCCCTAATAAAGAGCCCTGGGGGCGTACTGGGTTGCACATCAGGCTGCTAAATGCCAGGTCAGCAGTTCAAACCCACCAGCTGCTCCTCGGGAGAAAGAAAAGTCTTTCTGATTCTATCGAGATTGACTGCCTCAGAAATCCACAGAGCCAGTTCAACTCTGCCCTATAGGGTGGCTATGAATGGGATTTGACTGGGTGGCAGTGAGTGAGTTGATCCACCCTGATATTTCTAAGATGAGCCCTGACTTCCGTCCTGAGATCCATTGGCCATCTCCCCAAGGAGGTTTCAAATGCATGCTAAATATATTACACTCATAATGCCATTCTCAATTCTTCCACCAAACAAACAAACAGCAACAAGAAATTAAAACGTTACTCCTCCCTCCTAACCCCACTCACCGGAAAGGATACAAACCACTCAATTGCTAATGGGCAAAAATGTGGGCTTTTTCCTCCCCACAGCCAATCTAACACCAAGCCCTGCCATTTCCATCTCCAAAACAGCTCTCTATTGCGTGCTCTCCCCTTCCACTGGGACAGGCCAAGGGCAGGGCCCCCTGGACTCTGTCCCTGTCTCCTCGACAGTTTCCCATCTTGGTGCCTTCCCATGTTTCTGAAACGCTCTTCCCGAGGCGCTGCGTGGTCCGCTCGTGCCCCTCCCCCAGACCCCAGGCCAACAGTCCCGTCTCACGTTGGACCGAACTGGGTTCCAGCCCTGGCCTCGCCAGCAACCTTCGTTTGAGTTCCTCAACGGCTCTTATCACAATCTGTTATTTGCTTATGTATTTACCACTTGCCTCCCCTGCAAGTCATAAATCCCGTGAGAACGGGTGCTTTGTCTTATTCACGGCTGTATCCTGACATCCTAATTCAGTGCCGGTTGCACAGCAAGTGCTTAATAAATACGTATGCAGTGGGTGGATGGATGAGCAGGCCCCTCCTGGAGGTAAACACCGAGAAAACTCGTGGGCAACACATATTCCAACACTCGAATCTCCCCCCAAAGCCTTCCCCTCTTCTTATTTCACACTCGAGCAAATCCAGGGAGCCTTTAAAAACTTGTGAAAAAGACATTTTCTTTTTAAAAAAGGCTTCCTTATGTGCATGGCCTTGCTGTCAGGCAAGCTGCAACACTGCAGACAGACGTCGTTAGGTTAACACACGCCT